GTCACCCTCCCGCCCGCGGCCAGGAATGCTGACAGAAAACCCACACCCAGCTGGGCTTGAAAGCATGACAACCGATGCAGAGCTTTTACTAAATCTCGCGCGGCCTACTAATTTCCATCCGGGCAACCACACCAAACGAGTCAGCATCGACGAGACCTACCACCACTACGCAGGTGATGCAATTCGTCAATCTCGAGTTGGGTTTGCTGCCGTTGGACATCCTGACCAGAGCGATGTCAAGATGAATCACAATTCCGAGGATATACCTTATGCCCGCATGCGCTCTCGCTCTGACGGGTCAGCCTTTATATCCCGTCCTGCGATCCGTGGAATCCGCCCAACTACTAGCTCCGGCACTTTCCCGCCAATCGTTTGGGAGGATGAACACGAAGGCAAAGCTTGGCATCCACCAGCTGATACGCCTCACCATAGTGCTTATAGGACCCATCTTCCAGCCGATCCCCAAGAACCTCAATTCCCTCCAAAACCCCTGCCCATTCCACCAAAAGTGGAAGAGGAAGATGGTGATACCAATCAAGCAATCTGCGGGGCATGTCATTTAGTGCGCATCCCAGTTGAAACCGAGGAGCAGGACGAAGACACGTGGATCAGTTGCGATGGATGCAAACGATGGTTCCATATCGTTTGCGCCGGCTTCAAGAATGATCGAGAGGTTCGCACAGTCGACAAGTTTATCTGTCGTCAATGTCGATCAGTTCATGGCCAAACAACCTTCGTACGCAAGTCCTCGCGGGCCCGGACAGCTATTGACTACGCAGGCCTGAACCAAGGCCTCGTCAAAGCTGCCACTGACTCGTTGGAGCATCACTATCTTGAGCCCATTCGACAAGGGAAGATTCGATTCCAACCCGAGAATTTCCCCCGAATGAAGCCTGAGCTAGTCACAGCGGAATACTTCGAACGAGGAAATGGGTGGACGGAGCCTATTGTGATACCTGCATGCTGGAACTCCTGCGAGTCTGTTTCCTCGGAGAATCCAGACTTTGAATCTCTAGTACAGGAGGCTTCGTCTCAAGAGATGTTCGATGATCTTCTTGAGAACCACCCAGAGCAAGAGACCCATATTGAAGAAACAGTCGATTGTGGTCAAGACCTTTTGGGTATGGTCATTCCGCGGGGTCTCACTGTCCGTGCTGTAGCAGAGCTTTACGGACCTGAAGAAAGGGTCGAAGTGATCGATGTCAAGTCTCAGCAAGGAGAGGACAAAAGGTGGAACATGGAGAAATGGGCCGATTACTACGAAAGCAATGAGTCGGACAAGCCTGTCCGGAATGTCATCAGCTTGGAGGTATCGCAGAGCAAACTTGGCAGACTCATCCGGCGACCAAAGGTTGTGCGTGACTTGGATCTGCAAGATGCCGTGTGGCCAGAGGAACTGAAGGCAATTGGCGAATATCCCAAAGTTCAGTTCTACTGCCTGATGTCTGTTGCCGACTGTTATACCGACTTTCACATTGACTTTGGAGGATCTTCGGTGTACTACCATATTCTGAAGGGCAAGAAGACTTTCTTCTTCATTCCTCCCAAAGACAAACATCTTAAAAAGTACGAGGAGTGGTGCAACTCTCCCGCTCAGGACTCGATTTTCCTTGGAAACCAGACCAAGGAGTGCTACCGTGTGGATCTCTCCGAGGGAGACACCATGCTGATTCCGTCCGGCTGGATTCACGCAGTTTGGACCCCAGAAAACAGTTTGGTTATTGGTGGCAACTTCTTGACCAAACTGAACTATGGGATGCAAATCAAGATACTCAACATCGAAAAGGAGACCAAAGTCCCCAAGAAGTTCCGGTACCCTTTCTTCCAAAAGATCCAGTGGTATACAGCTCAAAAGTATTTAGAGGATGACCCCGTCCCGCCAAATGTGATGGAAGCATTCATGCAAGATGAGAACTATCGGTTCCACCGTCAGTATCCAATCTACTACGAGTTTGGAGAACGCGCCAACCAGGAACCTCCAGGGTCTCCCCATCACAATGCACGGTTTTATTCGCAGGCGGAGTTGGAGGGCCTACTTGAGTTAACTAAGTATTTGCTACGGACTGCACTCATTGCGAATGGCTATACCGTTGATGGAGTCGTCTCCATGGACGTTCGGAACGCAGTCAGACGCTCCATCCCCAAAGGCACGGGAGATCCTGTGGATATGATTAGGAAATTCGGAATTTGGGTCGCCTGGAAGCGTGGTAACGAAAAAGCGCCCCTTTGGACTCGACCTGGCGTCATCGAAAGCAATCCCAAGGTTTCTATTGCGGACAAGAAGCCTGCAGGACGACCAAGCCGCCGATCTGAACGCAACGTCGACAACCAACGCACCTATGCCGAGAGGCAAGCGGTTCAGTGGCCTTCAGAAGAGGCCCCTGCAACTCCAAATCCCCCATCCAGCAGCCTTGCTTATGCGCAGTCTGATGGAAGTGCAACACCTGCACCACTATTCAGTATTGCTCCAGAAACGAGCATCAAAGATATTGCTACACCCAAGCCCCGGACTGTGCAACGGGCCTCAGGTCTTGGTCCCAAGCGTGTTGCATGTGACGCCTGTCGCAAACGACGCATCCGATGCCGCCACAAAGATGAACCCGGTGATATGGTGCTCAACGGGCAAATCGCAGTCAATGCCTTCACACCGGGCTCTGGGGTGAGCACGCCGTCCTCCTTGGCACAGGATGCTGTATCTGCTTTGAATTCTTTGGCAGCGATTGCGTCGCAAACTGGGTTCCAAAACAATCCGCATCTTGTTGACCTGGAACGATTCGAGAGCTCGGCACGATTTCAATCCGCGGTTATGGGCAACTCCACGGTAGCTGCCAATCGTCTCATTGATGTAAGCCCTGACGGAGCCAATGGAGGGAAAAAAGGACGCAGCAAGGCGTGCGATGATTGTCGGAAGAGCAAGGTTTGTGATGCCCCCTTCCCCTCCCCCAAAGGGCTTCTTTTGCTCCTTTTCATCTTACTAACCTGAGACCAGCGCCGTTGCATCCACGATGAGTACGGTCGGATAGATCCAATAAAGGCTCAGGAGCGCTCTAAACCTCGTGCGAATGCTTCCGCCAAACGAGCACGCCCTGCCGAAGAGGATGACATGCCTTCCATGGCCAAAAAGGCAAAGCAGGAAAGCACATCGCCCATGACACAGCCTGCAGTATTCTTCGATCATGAAGGCGATGAACTGATGGCGCAAGACGACCTGATGGATGCTTATGATCACGAGCCTTTCAGTCAAATTGACTCGGCTAAGCATCTGCCTGAGGCAGAACAGGCACCTCGAAATCAAGCATTGTACGCATCACCACCTGCTTTCCAGGCCGAGTCTGTGGATGCAAAGGAATTAAACTCCGTGTCTGTGTCTTCGTCCAAGCCAAACACCTCCTTGGTGTCACCGCCCACGTCGCTGGCCGACGAAATGGATGGGGTCCAAGAGGGAGAGGCCGTACAGTCTGTGGAAGGGGAAGTGTCAACTGCTCTCCACACACCCAACTCCAGTTCTCGACATTCGTCTCGCCAACCTCGACACGTCGATCGGTTCGCGCCTGATGCAACTACAGCCCGGGCTCCGAAGCCGGCGGCACGAGCCACATCTTCCACGATCGAGGCACGCAAGACCACTCCTGTTCCAGCATCGACGAGAAAACCTTCATCACGTCCCTCATCTTCACATGCGAAGAAGAGTTCTCCGATGTATGAAAAGCACTTCCATCGTCACGCCCCTACATCATTATCTCCGCGTCAGCACAAGCATACTCAACACATCACCGGGGACGAAGATGCAGACGAGGAAAGTCTTCGTTTGATACGAGAGCTCCAGGAACAGGAATTTGGTCTGCGGAAACGATCGACGAGGGTTTAGTCTCGCAGAAGGGACGACCGGTACAGATGAGAGATGTAGAATGGATTCTGCTTTATGTTTTTTTGTTATGCGGGATATCAATTTACCAAGGGTTCGGGATTGGAGATCCGGTGTTTTTCTTTCTTTTTTTCCCTTCAAGGATCATGTTTTCATGTTATTTCCGGCGTTTTCTGGGTCTGGGAGAACTGGGGAGTTCTATCTTTTGGCTTTTGATATCAATTGTCGTTTGCATCAGGTTCTGTTTTCTTTGTCAATCTGCCTTGCTTCGCTTTCTAGGTCTGAGTTCACTTTTTCCCTAGTTTCTTTATTCTATTTTATTCCCTGTGGATTCTATGTTTCATGCCCGGACCTCTTCACAACCAACACTTTGCTTGATAATTGTTTGTTGGGCTTTCTCTCCTCTCTCCCGGCTGCGCACAGCAACGAGGCGTTTTCTGCAAGTCTCGTATATGTACTTCTTTCTTTTGTCTGACACAATCTGCGCGGTTTACCCTCATGCATATATCGGCTATAGGGTTGTGTAGCAATTTGTTGAATCTACGTTCTTTCATATGTTTGCTCTTGGGTTCTCATGCCGGTTGCTGCCCGATGATATGTGGCTGTTACTTGTCTGTAGAGGTTTATCTATTGATTTGGCTTTCATTGCCATATCCAACCCTTGATTTCCACTTGCGGCTCTAAATCGAAACTCCAAACAAGTGCTATATATTATGGCATATATATAGCGAATTGCCGAAGTGCCACCAGTGCTTCGGAGATCAGCGTTTTCCAATCACATATCCTTGGAGAGATATATATTTCCACTTGACCTACATCTAACAATTTAGAGAATACGTAACTCCCATATTCTAGAGCTAGCGAATGCAGCCTATATGCCGTATATAATATAGTATGCGCTGGTTAAACCCTTGTATTCCCCTCCCTCACAATGCAGCCTAGACAACGTAAAGAGATGATACGTGATAGCACATTACTAGCCGCATGACATCGTATTTAATAAACTCTCCGGGTAAGTAGAGCCGAGACTGATTCACTACATCGCCACCACACACCATACCACTTCCCGCTATGCATCGATAACCGCTCCCCCCCTCTACTCTCCCAAAGTCCAGGATATCTAACCTCAACTCGGTTAGGTCAACACAGAGGCCGTCGCCGGCTCAGTAGTCCGCAGCACTAGCGGTATAGTATCCGTCATCGCCTCAGCCGAGCTACTCCAAAGCAGAGAGTACAAGCCGTCCGTGCCAGTTTGTCTCGCGTAAAAGTTGGCCCCGGTCACAGTGACTAGGACGTAGCTCCCGTACGTGGACCACACGTTGCTAAGCCTAGTTGTGTTGGATTGCTCCCTCGCGGACGTGCCGGTGAATCCGACTGGGTTGGAGTCCGTATTGCCTCGGTCTAGACACAACATGTTGGTATTGGCCGGGAGGGTAGTGAAGTCCTCGGCAGAACTGGTGCTGTCACTAGGGTGTGCAACGAAGGTGTTTCCAGTGGATGCGGTGACTATTACATGTACATGGTTAGATATAGATCTGTGGATTCTTGTGGTTTTCCCATGGGGTAGAGATCTTCGGTTCTTACAGTTGATAGGGATCATTTCCGCCATTGTGGATGTGTCTACTTTTGACCCATCTGCAACTTGGGCAGTACCTGTGGTCAAGGTGATATGGATCAGTCAATTCTGCTGATTTCAGGGGTTTGGGGGGATTTGATACCGTTCCTATAGAAAACAGGCAGTCCGCTAATGCCTGGGCCATACGCATAAAGCTTGAAGGGCTCGGTTGTCCTTGACTGTCGCTCTTCAAGTGGGTGAGCAGAGCAGACTAGCCCAAAGGCTAGAAGAAGAATAGAAAGAAATAACATCTTGCGATAAACGAGTTATACAATAAGTTGGAAGGGGGTGTACACGGCGGTATGTCAGGATTGAGCAAAACTTATAGAACAGAAAGGAGTCACGAGGGCATAGTCAATGAGATAACACTTGATGTAATTAGAAGCAGGCAGCACATTAGGAATTACCCAATGACATGTGTGGTTCCCATCGCTGATCCTTCTCTTTATTTCCTAAGATTATGATACAAGCCTCCTTTTGTGATTTGGACTGACACGAACGGACGATGATACGTAATTCGCAACCCCATTGCCATGATCCCAGTCCAGGAAAAACACCCCCGCCGTAATCATCTGGCTGTGATCCATGTCAAAATGCAGAACCCGGCTACTACAACCCTAATGGTCAGATCAACGATCCACTCAACATGCATGCACTGTGTCAATACTCTCACGGTAATCGACAATCCTGGACAAACCAGCTGAAATCTCAGGAAAAAGAAAACATCAAAATCTACGAGATAGGACTATTACTATGCAAGCCACACACGTGGGGCGCTCGTATACTCTGAGGCTGGATCGGGTTACACCAAGATAAAACATGACAGCGCGTCGGGGAGCATAACCCTAATGCACGTCCTGCGAACCGACCTGACTGCGACCAAACTAGAAAATAAGATTCCCGATGCTCAATCTTCATCATTGGCTCTCTTTGCAAGGTTTTGACAATCCGAGACACACAGCCCTAGTTGCATGGAATATCCAGGCCGTCCATCTTCTCGATAGTACTATTACGAGAGAACAGGCAGTAGCAAATATCTGCAAACTCAAAAATGCCAGTGTGCACGTGGTATGATAGACAGCACAACGATCCAGCCGCAGGGAAGCCCCCCGAGCCGACCATATTCCTCTAGGCTGAATGGCGGATGGTCTACGGGGCCGCTTGATCTTACTACTCGGGTATCCACTGAGAACATAGCCTCAACATCCGAGCTGGATAATGACTATGGCGCTTCGCCAAGCCCATTCGTCTGCCGGGTCGCCTTCTGTATCACAAGATCCTGTTTCTCACGGCATCGCCGGTATCGTCGGTACGGTGCCTGGCCTATCCTAGTGAGGAGGTACGAATGCAGGACACCTCGTGCAAAGAAACATGGCGTTCTTGATCCTGGTAAAACCTCTCCTTGTCATGCTGTAGGGTTCTGATATATAAGATATTGGCTTAAATAGAGGACTGTTTCTCTTGATTGTGTATCAGCAAGTCTCATTTGTTTTCTTATACTCGAATTCTTTTGGGTTTTCAGTCTTGGAAGCTCTCTACAAAGCTTTTTTCGTGACCGAGAGAAGATTGAGGGCTATAAACGTGCCCTGCGTGGGTAAAACTTGCAGCCATGAAGTTCCAAGCTCTTCTCCTGGCATTCAGCCTGAGTGCTTCTGTTGCGGCCATTCCACCTGATCCGGTCGATTCGGTGAATATCCAACCACAATACCATAGACCCACGACAACCAGTACCAAACCCAAAACCACTACCAAGATCAATAAGCCAACAGGAACACCCTGTGCAGGCAACACGCCCCGAACACGGTCTAAGTGGTGCCAATACGACGTCAACACCGACTATACCCAGATAGTACCAAACACAGGCATAACCCGGGAGTACTGGCTCAACCTTGAAGAGCTAGAAGCCGCACCAGATGGATTCAGCCGACCAGTAATGGCCGTGAACGGGACAATCCCGGGCCCAACAATCTTCGCCGACTGGGGCGACTGGCTCGTGATCCACGTCACAAACAGCCTCCATAAATCCCAGAACGGGACGAGTATCCACTGGCATGGGATCAGACAGAACTTCACGAATGGCAACGACGGCGTTGTCTCCATCACGCAATGTCCCACAGCCCCAGGCTCAACCATAACCTACAAATGGCGGGCTACACAGTACGGTTCATCGTGGTACCATTCGCACATTGGGCTGCAGGCGTGGGAGGGTGTGTTTGGCGGGATTGTGATCAATGGCCCTGCTACAGCGAACTACAATGTTGATAAGGGCAGTCTGTTCCTGACGGACTGGTCGCATCCCACTGTTGATGAGTTGTACTTGGAGGCTCAGACGGTTGGGCCACCGACTTTGGATACTGGCCTGATTAACGGGACGAATGTCTTTGGGAATGGGACCAATTCTACGGGCACGCGGTTCCAGATGAAGGTTGATCAAGGGTCTTCGTATCGGCTGAGGGTTGTGAATTCGGCTGTTGATACGCACTGGAAGTTTATGATTGATAATCATACGCTTACTGTTATTGCGGCGGACTTTGTGCCGATCAGACCGTACACGGCGAATTATATCGATATCGGAATGGGTATGTGGTTTATTTTTTGATATCAAACCCCAAGCCCTAACTCCAACCCTCTCCTCTTCCAAACACAAAGAAAAGCAACAACTAACAGAAAGGAACCCCCAGGCCAACGCTACGATGTAATCGTAACAGCAAACCAACGCCAAATCGCCGACTCGTTCTGGATCCGCGCAATTCCCCAGGAAGCATGCTCCGAAAACGCAAACCCAGACAACGTAAGAGGAATCATGTACTACGGTAACCTCCCACGCACACCAACAACAAACGCCTTCACCTTCCTAGACGAATGCGTCGACGAGCCCGTCACCAGCCTCGTGCCGCAAGTTCCCAAAACCGTCTCAGCTGCAGACTGGAACAACCTGACAGACGTGACACTGGGACGCAACAGCGCGAACCTCTTCCGCTGGTACCTCAACAGCACAACGATGCAAGTGCTCTGGGAAGACCCAACTTTACTCCAGGTCTTCAACAACGAAAACACACCCAATTTCACAGAATCGAGTGGCGTGATTGAGCTGCCACGGGCGCACGAGTGGGTGTATCTCATGATCAACACGAGTTTCCCGGTCACGCACCCTATTCATTTACACGGCCATGATTTCTTTGTTTTGGCGCAGGGATCGAACCCGTGGAATGGGAGTGTTGCGACAAATAACCCGCCGCGGAGAGATACTGCTATGTTAAACGGGAATGGGTTTTTGCTTATTGCATTTGAGACGGATAATCCTGGGGCGTGGCTTATGCATTGTCATATTGGGTGGCATACGGATGAAGGGTTTGCGTTGCAGTTTTTGGAGAGGGAGAGTGAGATTGAGCCGTTGATTGATCGGCAGGCTCTTGAGGAGAATTGTAATTCTTGGAATGCTTATGATGCGGCTTTTAATATTGATCAGGAGGATTCGGGGGTTTAGGGGGGGTGTGGGGATGTGGTTCTAGATGAGTATGGTCATTATATAGGTGAGCTTCGTATGTAGGTAGGTCGTGTTCTGGTGTTTTATATCTTCAATTGATCATGTATTGATCATTTGTATCTTCATAGCTGAAATAAATATCAAGTAGGCCCTTCAGGCCAAATCAAATGGCCCGGGAATATTAATGAAATACATTAATGATGGGCAAGGATCATCGCATTGACAAGCAAACACATAGGAAGTGGTTGAGAAAGAAAGCTTAAGCGGAGAGACCTTGGTCTTCTTCTGTATTTGGCCATTTCAGCTAGACATTCATCCGAAGGTTTCCCATATTGTAGTTATCCATGTTCAACTTACTGTTACTGCTTTGCACTACTTGATTTAAACTATACAAGCCATGATGCCAGAAACGACAAGTAGCACAAGCCCAGCCATGATTATGATGGCAACGTAAAGACGGTAATTTCATGGTGCTGTAGCGAAGGACAAGTGGTTGCGCATCCCAGGCGTGCAGCTCCTGGGGTATTTAACTTCACTATAAACCGAGGTGCCTGTCCAAGAGCGGTGGTTCTCACTCCTGGTTCTTGTCAAGCTCCAGCATGTACGGGGTGGCAGGTCCACTCTGCTGTCTCATTGGTGATACACAGCCTAGAGATATCATGTAAACAAGTGTCATACCCGTAGACACGGTTGATGGTCAGGAACATATCTCGCCCCATTTTATGGCATTATTTGACACCGATTCGTCCTCCAAGGGATCATTTTCTACCCGTTCCCCTTCACGGTAAACCGGGGGATCCCCGAGTTGACATGGCCAAGTTCGCAGCTGTCATACATCCACGTCTGTATGTGCCCAATTTCTGTTGGAATAATGCTATTGCTTGGATTCTTTCTGCGGGTTGTAGGATGAAGAGGAAAAGACATCCTGGACTAAGCGAGGTTGGAATTTGTGAAACGAAAGAGAACGATGGCACATGACAATGCAGATCTAACACAGAATGTTATGCCTTATGCTTGAATCACACAGGGCGGTGCCTATTCATCTATTTATGGATATAAATAGGAAAGGAGAAAAGGCAACAGATGATCGAGACCATGTGATACTGGTTACAGTACATAATTACCGAGGGAATAATAGCACTATGGATATTCTATTCACGAGCCTTCCAAGGCTAACATACACAGAATCGATATATCGTTAAATCTTTCATCAAACCTCCCCCGAATCAGATGGCACCACAATTTAGAAAAAAGGAAATACTCCAACCAATCGGTAAGGGTTTTGTCTTGTCATGGATCAGATAATAGTAATAGTCACCATCACCACTACAAAACCAGTCCCACTCAAATCAGGGTCTTCATGTCATCCATGTTGCGGACACCAACGAGGTTACCGGCCTTGACACGCTTGAGTGTCAGGGCGGCAATCAGCGCAGCACCAACACCGGAACCATCCTCAGCAGCCATGACGGAGACCTTGTCCTTCTCGGTAGGGGCCCAGTCGAGGATCTCACGCAGAGCCTGGGCACCACGCTCCTTGAAGAGAGGGTACTTGGTGAAGACGGAGCCGTCAGCACCGACGTGGCAGGAGTCAATGTTCTTCTTGGTGCAGATGGCGGCGACTCCGCATGCGGACAGACGAGCGGCACGAGTACCGATCAGCTCGGCGAGACGGCGGATAAGCTCCAGCTCCGGCTGGGTGGGGCGGATGCTCAGCTTGTTGTCGAAGAGATCCAAGGTCTCGGTCAGGTTCTCATAGGGGTCCTCTTCGATGTTGGCGAGGAAGGAGGCATCGAGCAGGTAGGGCTTGCGGAGCTTGGTGACGTCCTGGCCGTTGAAGATCAGGCCGGGGCGGTTGTCGACCAGGTCAATTAGAGCGAGACGGAAGATCTCGCCAAGGTACAGACCAGCGGTCATCTTCTCGAAGGCTTGCTGGCCGGGGCGGGGAGAGTCGCGATCGATGATGTCATCGTATTTGGTGAGGGGCAGCACCACGTGCTCATTGTCGAAGGCTCCGTATTCGCAGTTGATGGCGACGGGCATGTCGGCGGGCAGGTTCATGTGGGCAATCTTGGGTATGGATCCTGCGTTCTCCATGTATGCGGCGTTGACGCCGGTGCCGAAAATGCAGCCAATCTTCATGGCGGAGTCGGTGTAAGAGGAAGCAATGAGGGTACCGGTGGTGTCGTTGATAAGGGCTGCAACTTTAATGGGAAGGCCCTGTAGCTTTGTAAGTCTTCGGACCCTGCATGGGGAGGGGGGCACCACCCCAAGGATAAACATACCCGCTTCTTCAGGATCTCCTCCAGAGGGGGAACCACATCCTTGCCCTCGACACCGTCAATGTCGAAGCCCTTGGTCCAGCGCTGCAGAATACCGTGATCGATGTACTCCTGAGTGGCGGGGTAGGAGAAAGTGAAACCAAGAGGCAGCTTGGTGAGGCTTTCACCGGCGTGGTGGGTCTCGACAAACTGCTGCAAGCAGTCGGCAATGTATTCCCACAACTCTTCCGCGGTTCCAGTCCGCAGCTCCTCGGGCATCTTATACTTGGATTGTGTGATGTCGAAAGCGCCCTTCTCCTCAGTCAAGGTAATCTCGCAAACACGTAGGTTGGTGCCGCCCATATCGAGGGCCAAGTAGGTACCCCGCTCATCTCCATCGGGGAAATCCAGGACCCAAGTGACGTTCATAGGCTATTTTCCTAGGGTTAGTCTATGTCAAGTTTGGGGAAATGATCTCTTCTCACAATGTTGCCGCCCTCAACGCTCAGACCTAATTTTTGTTAGCGATGCGTAGAATCGGAGAGCTGCGGATAAGTGCTCTCACCCTTCTCGAGCTCCTTGACGAAGTGGTTCACAATCTCCTTTAGCTTGGAACGATCGACGGTAAAAGCCTTCTCAAACTCCTTAATAGGCTCCAGCAAGTTCTGGGGCAGTTCGTGCATGGACCCTGTACGACATAGTTAGTTTAGGAAATATAGGCAGGGGTTTGAAGAGCCTCACCCTTCCGGGATTGCGGGTGCTTAGGGCCAAGTCCAACCATGATGAATATGAAGTATATGGGAAGAAAATAAGAGAAGAAAGAAAAAAAAGTGGGAGGAGGGGGGAGAATGACGATATGGAGAATATAACGTGGGGCAAGTGTAGATGTCTTGTTTTGGACTGTCGGAGAGAAACGAGAGAAAGTCAATTGGGGCTAAGGTGGGCTGATGGAACGAAAGGGTATCTTTTTGATAGCAGACATCTGTGGACTATAAATATTCTATTCTCTAATATTATAAATAGTAAATAGTATAAATACTCTACTAATTGAGGAATATTGGTTATTTAAATCAATCAGGTATGTTCAGACTGCAAACGTTATGATCGACGATCTCTTGGCACGTTGACTTGACTACGTACCTATTCCGTACTCTGTACACACGGAGTACATAGCTCCTAAATATCTACAACATACTCCGTACATGTACTCTAGTAAAAGAATATCTGTGCTATTTCCGCCCATTCCGCCTATTCCGCCTATTCTGCATATTAAAGTCAATCCATGAAAATCACCTCAATGTGACAGCTTACGCGCCAAATGGGGAAAAACATGGTCGAGACCGCCAGATTGGCGGTGTGCCTTGTCGTGTGACTCCAGCTTTTCGCGTACTTTATTCTGATACGCATCTGTCAACCCCAGAGTTCGATCGATCTCCTCCGTTAGTCGGTCCACTTCGTCCTGCAGCCGTTCATCTCGCGTCTGTAGCGGGGCATTCTCCTCCGCTCTTTTCTGCGGGTCTGGGTTGGTTTCCTCCCACAGCGTCTCCAATTCCTCTCCCCATCCCACAGCCTTTGCAAGCTTGCGCACACCGGCATCACAGTCCCCAATCACCAACACATCATCACTCCGCGATCCAAGGCCACCGACACGCTCCATGTTGATGAGAACGCGAGGCACACCCGGACTAACGAACGAAGGCAGACTGGCAAATGGCTGGACGGACAGACTTGTTCCCATGACAATGCAGAGATCGGCTTCTTCTGGGAGAAAGCGACTATCGAAAAAGTCAGACGGTAGAGCTTCGCCGAAGAACACAATGTCGGGCTTGACTAGGCCGTTGCACCCGTGGCAGTGGGGTACGTCGCCCTTGGATACCATCTGATGCATCTCCTCGTCCGGGAAGGTCTCCTTGCAGTCAATGCAGCGCTGTGACGCGAAACTGCCATGGGCCTCAACAATCTTCTCGCCTGGCACGCCTGCCTGGCGCTCGAGGCAGTCAATGTTTTGAGTAAAGTGCTTCAAGAGCATCCCTTTATCGTAAAGTAGTTTGATAAATGAGTGCACAATGGTCGGGCGATAGCGTCCGGGGTACAGCTCGTGCGCCAGCGCATAGAAAGGCTTGGGGTTATGCCGGAAGAAACTAATGTCAAAGACTGCCTCGGGCTCTGGTAGGTCTAGATTTGCCAGGTTGGCGTAGATACCCGTGTCAGGTGAGCGAAAGTCTGGGATGCCTGCTGAAGTGCTGATGCCCGCTCCCACCTACATTTGGTTAGCTTTGATGCACTGTTCTCTGGAGATTCGCGTTGCATACCATCACCACAACTTTCTTCACATTGTGCTGCTTAACATATTTGGCCACCGCTTCGATATTGCGCGCCTCAAGCACCGTGGGAGATGTGGATTTATCCACCTCAGTCGATGATTCGTTTCCCATGGTGCGCCGGTTTGGGCGTCTAGGTTTGCGACGTCCGATGATGGCGGTTGAGGGCTTGACAGATAAAAAATCAAATCTTGAGACTGATAGATAAAAGTAGCTAAAATCGCAGCAGAGAAAGTCAACAGAAAAAAAAAAAGAAGGAAGCAGAAAAACAGCGCAACTGATATGGGGATCGCGCGTGGGGGAAAAATGACGTCGGCCTGATTCACAATCACATTAAGACACATCAGATAAAAGGACAGACAAGGTACAAAGAAAATGTTCAAGACACGTATAGCCAATTCTATTTGTTTTAACAATT